ATTCTGAGCCTAAAATTTCTTCCCTTATATTTGTAATAGTCACTTCAAATTAACTCGCACATATCTGCTCTCACATATCAGTGGTTTGAAATTCTTCCCTATCGAAAATGATGCCCTTTCTGTGTTAGAAACATTTCATTTCTCTTGTATCCACATGCATCGTAAGTTGAATTCAGTATTCACTTATAAAGCTTGCAAGGCTTTATTGAATAAAAAATCAAGGATGATGTTAGCAGTTTTATTTCAATTTTAAGGGAGACATAGGTGGGTGGAATATGCTTCTAAGAATCGCTACAATGCTTCTCAAGTCCCACCAGAATGGCATGGCTGGCTTCATTTTATAACTGATCATACAGGAGATGAGGTGAGTTTTAAGTCCTATTTCAATGAATTGTTTTGACATGTATGCTGAGATGCTCAATAGAGTACATTTGTTGTAGCTTCTCTTGTTGAAGCCGAAGAGATATGGACTTGAACACAAAGAGAACTTCTCCGGGGAGGGGGATGAGTACATTTATCACTCCAAGGGACATACCCTTAACCCTGGACAAAGAGACTGGACCAGATACCAACCCTGGGAACCCAAAAAGGCTTAAGTCCCTCTTTCTTTAAAGCAAGCTCCAACTAATCTGGGAAAGTACATGGATATGTCTCTTTTGTTTTCATTATTAATAAATTTGGGTACTTGATTATTCTATTCCATGATATCTGTAATGATCAAGGTTTCCCAATCCAGGGTGCATGTTAAGATCTTTAATTTGATGAATGTTTTGAAAATAGACGAATGTCTTAATGCCTCAATGATGAAACATTTATCATGGATTATTCAAAATTGAAGAGGTGACTGTTTACTTCCACTGCTTTCCACAATTATTGCACTTCAATATTTGCAAAGCAATCTAAAGTTGGTTTAACTAGTTTCTTCGTTTTGGTACATATCTGAGGTTGCGGACACGGACTTGTAGAGCACGATTGATTCATGTATTGATTAGCTTAACCAATAAATAAGCCCTTGTTTGGTGGTATTTTTTTCCGAGTACTAGAGTTTTGAATAGTGTTTTAAAAGAATGTATGTTGAAAAGTAGGAAAAAAATTTGGGTTTCTATGCGAAATTTTTTATTATATGAATGTGATTGAAAATGAGTATGAGGAAAAAACTAAAAAGAGTTTTAAAAGTAAGGAAATCTTTTTTTCTCTACTGTTAATAATATTTAGTTTTATATTGTCTAACTTATAAAATAAGTACGTAATCCTTCGGATGGCACATGGTGTGTGGAAGCTGAAAGAATCGGGAAGGATCATCAATCTTGAAGCATGGAATAAAACGATTGAATGTGGAATTTGATGGTGCTAACGAAAAAAATTATAAAATGTCAAGATCTTTGTTACTAGTTAATGTCGAAAGGTCCACGTGGAGACCTCATAT